ACACCCTGTATATGTGTTATAACTAGAATACATATACATATGATTAATAATTACTGTAAGTAATAAATAATAAGAAAACGTTCTGATAACGTTTTTATATTAATCAATTAAAAACAAAGGAACGTAATAATTACTGGAAATAATTGTATTTACATGATATCTTTATTTCAATTTTACCTTTTTTTTATTTGTTAAAATTACTGATATGTAATAAAATAATAAGAAAATTATAATAATTTTATTTTGTATTTATAAATATATAATAATGGCGGAGATGATAACCACTACCACCACTAACGTAAATTCGCACGCTACGATCTTTTTAGACCGTTACAAACATATCAAATTTTATGTAGATATAAGCGTGTTAATTTACGTCATCTATTTTCACATATACTATACGAAAATACATTAACGAACATTTACATAAATAACAGGTAAAAATATAATAGTATCGATAAATTGAGAAAGATATAAATAGAAAACGAAAGAGTACGACAAAATGACCGGTACGCGATTACTCCCAGGTTATCTGCAAACGGCGAGATAAATCGAATAAACTCTCAATCGAGCAGATAGACAGCGCGTAGGTCAGAAGTTTAGGAAAATTCCGACGTTTTACAACGCGACGAAACAGGCCCAGAAAGAGGCCAGTTCCCGACCCGTCGAACTAGAGGAACATAAACAGAAATAGGACAGGTTTCCAAGGTTGTATCTATATATAGGACGCATACACGTATATACGGCACGCACATATTCATATACGCGAGGAGCGAAGTGCGTACTATGGGTTGGACCGCATCGTAATCGTCGTGTTCCGCCCTCTTCTCTCTCTCTCTCTCTCTCTCTCTCGCTGCCCTTCATCTACTCGCTCTCTTACCGGAGGTCTAGAGCAACCTAACACGTACGCGACTATACTACACACGCACGTAGTACGTACGCACATCGCAACATACTATGCCCCGACACCGCTCTATAGAGAACGACCTACGCGCGACGAGAAAACAGACCAGCGGCGTTCATTCATGCCCTCTCAAACGCACGTCCAGAGAGGTTACTTTACGACGCACGGACGTGAACAACGACTCGCCTTCGTTTCCTCCACGACGGCGCAACACGGCTCTTTTATTTCCCTCATGCAAAATATACCGCCGAACATAAATCGTCGCGTCAAGGAAAACAAATGTATCACAATTTTGGACCGTGTTGCGTCTCGTAACGTTAGAACCAGTCAAAATATAATCTACGTTAAGATCTTACGAACATTAGCCTGTAGATTGACCCAGAATTCACACACGAGGGAAAAAGAAGGGGAAGAAAAATTGTAACGTAGTACTCTTTTTTTCGAACGCGTGATGCGTCGATGCTATCTTTATGCAGTATCGTCAAGGTTAAGTAATTATTTATATTTTTAACGCGCCAACTCGAAATTGCCTGATAATTTTTTTTTACGACGAAATACAAAAATTAACTATTTTTATAGAAAGATCTTGTCACGTACAAATTCTCGCAAATTCAAGAAACGTAGTAGTGTGATACTTCGATCCTGACAATCTAATTTTACAATCGATTATGAAACAATGTTGATGATACTTGAAACAAGAGATATCTCAAACGTTTTAACAAAACTTCTGCATCGTGAGTTAAAAAGGTTACCGAATTTATTCCGCGCAAACTAATATTCTCTTTTGATATAAAAATTACGACGGCGAGTTTTGAACAAAGGAACTGCCGATGATCGCAGTACGCACAATACGAAACGTCAAAAAATTTCAACAAAGGCAATCGACCGAATAAAATTCACCCGGTTCATTCCGCCAATGCAACGTTTTAACAATTTCGCAGTTTCGATGTCCAATTTAAAATTTTAGTGCAAAAAAAAAAAACCGCGCGAGATTCATATTAATGTAAGATACAGATACTCTAAGAGCTTCTTTTCGAAAAAGCAAAGTCCCGATTACTTTTAGAACATTCTTTAAGCTTCGATTCTTTTTCTTTTTTTCAAACTTCCTACCCGTAATAAGATCCTGTTTCTTTGAAACGCTCTTGAAAAGTGGAATGGAGCCGTGCATATTTCAGAACTTCAGAGTGAGTTGCGCGCGAACCGGTTTCGCAAGCTCTTTCGCAAAAAACCGGCGAGCAACGATTAATATTTAAAAGTCAGTAGAGCGAATTAATCGGCGGTTGGGACCGCTATCGAATTTGCGCGAACTTCGGCGTTCGTTTCTGCCTCTTCCCCTTCCTCGAGAATTCTCGGTGTCGAATTTCACGAATCGATGAACTCTCCGTAAAGTCGAATGTCGTTGCTACTCTGTGCGATCTTGACGTTTGCCCGAACACTCGCAATGCGCAATACAATCGCGATACAACTTCGACAGGAGGTCCTTTTTAGGAGAATCTAGATGTAGCATAATGACGCGGCGAACCTTTCATCCGAGCCGAATCCCGACAACTTTCCTATCGACTATTTCTTCGATCATTTTGTTATCCGATGGCCTCGCATGACGTAAGAATATAAAATGTTATTCAACAACTTGGAGAGTTGTCACGAATGCAAAAAAAATGATACGGCTCTTATGATCTCTGACACATTAAGGCTACACGGTCAAAGTCTCACTGCTTTGAAGCGTTTGATTGCCTAATTGGAAGAATTTTGAACAAATGGACCAATCAAAAAACACTTTAAAGCATCGCATTGACCGTGTGTACCCCAAGTTACATCATGTTGCTACAAGGTTGAATTTCGATGCTGACCGACTGCTTGAAATTTTACTTCATCACCAACGCGTACGAAACTTCTTAACTTTATACATTACAGTCTATCGTTCAATAAGCGGTTAGTAATTCTTTAATACAACGTAGTCATCAAGAGCGAACACGACAGACTTTCGCGCTACTCTGACACAACCGAAGCTCTAGAGCTCTTTCAACCCTCCCTCGTTTTTTTTGGGGTCTCATTAAAGGCTTCCGCCTTATCCCTATTCTCAAGAACATATCTTCCGAGAATCTTCGCCATCATTTGGACACCATCTGCCGCGATGGAAATCGCGCGGTACGTTTTTATCTAAATATTTGGAGATCGTAAAACGTGGCGAGCGACAAACTCGTAAAAGAAACGGCTGGATTAACTACAGTCCGGTGGAACGCGGTTATGTAACAAGGAACCAAGTAGCAAGTCGAAACCGAATCCAATTTTGCTGCTATGCGTTTGCGCAAGGCGAGATTTATTCTCGTGTGGCCAGCGTTTGAAACGACGACGCGATTTAAAAATAGATAATATTCTGGAATATTCTTTTTGAATTTCATGATTTATATACGAGTTGCCGTAACGAACTTGCTTCTGCATAAAAAAAAAAAAAAAGAACGTTCAATATTAAATAGCGGAACTACTTTATTATTGCTCGAGTCTTTCTTAGCCACACCCAGTTTTTACATCATAAACATTAATATTGTAAGCAATCTCTACTTCTTATACACATTCTTTGAATTCCCATCTATCTATGAGCGGTTTACCAGTTTTTGTGAATTACGTTGAAAGACTTCGTCTTAGCGTCTTTCATTCTCACGCGTCTGCTTTAAGGTGTCGTCTTTCCCGGAAGACACACCCACTACTACCAAGAAGGCAGATTTCGACGGGAAAATGACTCCCAACGCGTTCCTTCTCATCTATCATTCTTATCCGAAGATTCGGCTTTTCTCTTTCTTTAGCGAAATCTCATTTGAGTTTCCGTGAAACTAACGATATCTTTCTATCTCACAAAAGTTTTGTCCGGAACATGTAAAAATATCCTTTACTAAATATTTGAATAATACTAACTTATCATTTACTTATGTTAAACAGAAAAAAAGTTTAATCAAGTTAATAATTCTTAAGAAATATATATTTACATTTAGCAGAATTTCAATTACTGCTCAAATCCAACATCTTACGTTAAAACAAATTCAATAAAATCAAGACTAAAATAGACCAAGATTTGAACCAAGATTATTGCTTATATACGAGTATATTATTGCTTGCAACATGTTTGTTTATGTATATTATGGTTGATTTAAGAATAGTCTTTCTTTCTGTGTAATACTTACGAAAATTTGTATTTTAATATAAAGTTCCTTTTATAAAAATAATTTAGCTTTGCTTGTTATAAAAGTTATCAGGCAATTTTCAGCTGCATTAAGAATGTGAATAATTACATAGCACTGTTAATGGCACTGTTGATATTAAAAAAAATGTAATACATTTTATAGGAAAACAAGAATAAATATATAGATAGAAGAACGTTGAATAAAAGGGAAGATTCCTTTCCTCTTTTACACATACATACACATATATACAATTTTGTGTGTGTGTGTGTGTGTGTGTGTGTGTGTGTAAAGGGTGTCTGTTAAGTAAGGTCGGAGTCGCATTGGGTCAAGAGGAACAAAAAAATTATATATCATTTTGCAATTTTCACAATAGTTAGCAAGATATAAATTAGTAAAAATGGCCGAATATTGATCTTTAATAATTTTTTTCTCAAATACTGTTAATTTTACAGAAAAACTGTAAGAGACAAAAATTGTTTTTTTTTTCATCTCATAAAGTTCTGAGAATTTTTTCAGAATTTTTTAATACCGTATTTCCTCACGATAATAAAAATAAGAAAATGCAGTACTGAAAAGTTGAGAAAAATTTCTGAAAACATTCTTAGAAAAGAAGTTCTATGAAAAGAAAATAAACAATTTTTATCTCTTATAGTTTTTTGGAAAAATCGTTAGTACTTGAGAAAAAAAAATTATAGAAGACCAATATTCGGCAATATTTCTGTAGTAATTAATATCTTGTCAACTATCGCGAAATTGACAAAATGGTACGAGACTTAATTTTTATTACTTAACAGACACCCTATACGACGCACGCATTTGTCAATCTTCCTTCGGTTCCACAAAGAAATCGTCCGCGGGGAAGGGCCAAATGCGGCGATGTTTTTTGTTCTAGAGACCAATAAGAGAAAAGTACTCACCTCGCGCGATCGCTGAAAAAGTCGACCTTGCTCTTCTTCTTCATGATAGCCTGCGGCTGATGAAGAGGGCTGACGCTGGGCTCGCTGGTGGCCGGCGGCGAGCTGGAACCGGTGCTGGATGACAAGGAGCCGGCTCTGCCGCGGCCGGCCTCGATCATCTGCGCCTCGCTGGTGCCGCGGCCGTTCGCGGCTACGACGTGGTTGCCGTGATTCGGCGGGCCGGCCGATACAGCCAGGCTCGGCCTGGTGTTCTGGCGGTTGCGCCGCTTCTTCTTCTTCGCCTCGTTTTCATCGGGGCGATTGCCGGGCACGTTGCCGAGACCGGGTGGCATCCAGTCGAGGTCCTTTTTGAGGTGGCCACGGCCGCAGCGGCAGCCGCACGCCTTGAACGCGAGATCGTAGCCCTTCTTCGTCCAGAGATTCTGATGACGCTGGCGCTCGGACCAGCTACGAGCGCGGCCGCAGCTTTTCAGATACGTCAGTACGGTCTGCTCCCAGGCGTCGAAGCACTCACGGTGCATGAACTGGCCGATCGGGCAATTGTCGTTGTTGCAGGTGACCTTGACCGCATCGTGCAGGGCGTTGAGACGGATGAGGGTGTCACCGCGCAGGCACTCGCCGGTCGGCGTGCAGCAGCGCGTCGTCTGGCTTGGGCCGAGCAGATTATCCATGGGATCGTTAGTGCCAATGCCACCGCCCCCGTTCTCCAGGAGGCCGCCGCCGCCGCCGCCACCGCCGTGGCCGCCGTTGGCGTGACGCCGCGGTGCCATGTAGGTGCTCTGCACTTTAAGATCAGGTGTCGTCTCCCGTTGCTTCTCGGACGTCGTTTTTTTCGATGACAGATGACGCCTCGCGATAGATTCGAACGCACACGCGCGCTTCGTTGTATCCGAAACGAAGATCAGGCTTGCTTCTCTACTCTTTCATCTCCAGGTGACACACCTCGCACGGTAGAGACGCGACGAGGAGGCGTGGACCGGTTCGCTCGATATCCAAGGCGATATCCAAGGCGCCGCCTCGCCGAAGAATCAAGGTCATTCGCGTGTCACAACGAGACACCGCTCGAGACACGACGTGACTCGAGTGTTCCTTAGTGCTTCTATCGACGCGCTGGTGCATCGGAGTCAAGGTCAGGGTGTGCTAGACCGCGACACAATGCGCCGCGGAGGAAAGCAAAAAGTCTCGAAATCGAAAGGTACGCTGCTTTGCTTCGTTGATTCGTTCACAGAGTCCCGGGACACAGATCCTCGTACGAGCGCGATCACAACGATGTCGCTCCTGCGCGCGCGAGACGACGAGTGTCTCTCGCCCGCCCGGCCCGGCTTCTCGAATGTCAGGGTCAACCGGCGCCGGAGTACGCTGTACGCGCCGCCCCGGCGTGCAACGCAATTTCCAACGGTGAGCGCGCGCGCGCGCCCGCGCGTCGCGTTTCACGACGGACCGCCGCGACGATTTAAATCGGCACACTTTAACGGTATACTCGAGCGCGGGGTACAGTCTGGGATGAAAGGGCGCACAACGTAGCGCTTGTCGACACCGAGGCTGCTTCGCTCTTCCTCTTCCTCTTCCTCCTCCTCCTCCTTCTTCTTCCTCACCGCCGCCCTTTTCCGTTCGTCTTCTTTCTCTTTATGCCGCTAACCGCTCCCGAGGATGAGACGGACGAACACACGGACACGCGAAAAACGCTCGCTCGCACGTAGGGTGCACCAGTCACTGAGAGAAGCCGGCGACGACAGCGTGCCGGCTGCCGCGGCGCCGAACGCGGGCGAGCGCGAAAGTGAGGCCCCATTGGGTGAAAGCGAAAGCAGCATGGTGGGGGTCACGGCTAGAGCGCCAATCGATGCGCGCCGTTGTCGCGTACCTCCGCGGGCGCACCGCGGCCGCGATGTAGTCCCGTCTCCCTCGCGCTCGCGATCTAGCGGTCCCCTCACTCCGCACCCCTCGCCACTGCTACGCCCGTTTCCCTTCTCTCTCTCTCTCTCTCTCGTCCCGGACGCGGCGTCTCTCTGTCCGTCGCGCGCGAACGCCGACCACCGCGCCGGGTACCTCGTTTTCTATCGTCTCGCTTGTTTCCTCGCCGCGTCTCGCTCGCTCTCGCCTCTCGCTGCGTACCACACGTACACAACGTACACAACGTAACACACGCCTCGCGCCGTTTTACTTTTCGAACCCGGCCCGGCCGGCAGCCCCGCGAATATAATTTGGTACTACGCACTTCGCGTGGATAATGTGTATGTGTGTGTGTGTGTGC